CTGTGCCTGCTTCCCTGCCACCAGCCCACCCCCTGCAGCAAAGCCTCCTCCAGTGCCACCAAGGTGCTGATCCACCCCCTTGATCTTCACCAAGAAAGCGTTGGCACAGGCAGGTGTCACCGTGGCTGTCACCCTCCCCTGGCTATGGTGAGGGGCTCTGCCTGGCACAGAGGGCGGTGTCCCCTCATGAACCCCTCATGTCCCTGCTCAGGGAGCAGGTTTGTGTCCCCAAAAGGTGACACGGAGGCAGGGCACCATCTGGTGGTGCCTGGGCACAGCACACGCCAGCCCACACGAGTGCTGCCCACCCACACGCGCTCCCAGCGAGGCCCCACGCGCTGTGCACACACGTGTGTGCACCCCAGTGCCCAGAACTTATGTGTGTGTGTGTGCACACATGTGCCCAGAGCGCACACACGTACGCACAACCCCACGTGTTAACACACTCTTCCGTGTTTGCACGTGTGCTCGCCCGCTCATGGCTGCAGGCACTCGCAGGTGGGTGCCCAGCTGAGCCACGGGTGCCCAGGTGAGCCCACGGGTGCTGGCACAGCCACGGGGCGAGCACGAGGCTCGATGGGCCACCTGTGCCACGCGTGTGCCGTGTCTGAGCACGCACAGGTAGGTGACGTGTGTGCGCAGGTGAGCAGTGCTGCGCCCTCCGAGTTTCAGCCAGGCAGGCAGCACTGAGCAGGGGAGCACAGGGCATGCCTGCTGCATTCCCTGCTCCTCTGGGGTACCAGGGCCGGACTGGCTTTTATTGCTAGCAGGGATCTCCCTCCTTGAGCCTCCTTTCAGCTCTGCCCCAAATCCCCTGGGAGGACCGTGGGTCTGTGCACCCTTCCTGCTTGCCCAGGCATAGGCTGAGGTGGGCACAGGTGTGAGGCAGTGCACGGGCAGCGAGCACAGGGCACTTCCTGGGGCTCCCCAGCCCGCCGAGGCAGCGGCTGCTCTCCAAGGGGTGTGTTCGGCTGCAGAGGTTTTGGCCGCCAGCCTGGCTCGCACAGCTGGAGAGGGAAGAGCTAAATTTAAAGGTGTTGGGGGGGCCGGGTGAGGCTGCCTGGCGCGGGGCTTCTCCCTGGCCGTCTGCACGGGAGGCACGGGCGTGTTTTCAGCGCCGCACCCTTTCTTTCACTGGAGAGGCAGAGGCCTGACGGGGAGAAGCGCTGGTTTCATCCGCGGGGAATGAGGCGAGGACTGAGCCTGAGCAGTGCCATGTGCCCCAGCGCAGCCCTGACCTGCTCCATGGGCCTGAGCAGTGCCATGTGCCCCAGCGGGGACATCCCTGCCCCAGCGCAGCCCTGACCTGCTCCATGCCAGCACCCCCAGGCCCACACGCTGTCTAGCAGCTGTACTGCTCACACCCGGCCAGACACGTGTCTGCTCGCACAGCTGGACACACGCGCACAGCTGGACACACTGACACCCCCGCAGACTCCTTCATCTGGGGCCAGCCCCTCCCACATGCGCCCCACACCCCTGATCCTTCATCCCCACACCATTTTGGGGCAATAAAAGTACTATTTCACAGTGTTTACAACTTTTATTTAAAAATGCCTTTCCCAGATAATTTCCAAGGCTGTAAGCCAGGCGTGAGGTGTGTGTGTGAGCCTCTTGCAGTCAGGACGGAGATTTAAGAAAACCAACAAGAGGAAAGTAGGGGCTCCATCAGGCCCTGAAAAGTGATTTTGACTGCACTGGCCCCCAGGGTCAGTGAGAGCACCCAAATTTCGGGGAGCAGGGAGGCATCGAGCCAGTGGGGTGTCCGTGATGCCACCTGCAGGTACTTAGGCAGCTACATGGGTGCTCCCACCCCCCATCCACCAGACTTGGGACCCAGCAGGCGCCAAGCAGACTTGGGAGTTTGCTAAAATGAAAATAGAAAAAAAGCCTGGGACATCATCCAAAACTGCCGAGTGTTAATTAATTCATCCCTGTGATGTGATCTGCCCTCGGCCCCAGAACATCCTAACATAGTCACAGCCGCCCACCCCAGCCTTCCTGCTGGCCACAGCCTTATTTTAGGCAAGAGGTGGTGCAGCTGCTCTCCTGGCCCTTGAACACCCATGGGTGCTGAGGGCCCTGAGATGTGGGTCGTGGAAGGAGGGCAGCTCTGTCAGTGTGTGTGTGGCCTTAGCTATGGGGCCACAGCCACATCTGCCCCACAGCAGCCTGCCAGCTCCACAAAAAAGCAGCCCAAAATTCCCCTGGGAGCTGGGACAGCGCAGCCGTGGGACACCCCATCACCCCTGGGAGGTTGGATGGGGTCCCACTCATTCCTTGTTCCCCCCACCCCCAAAAAGTGAAATGAGAGCATCAGTATGCAGGGTCTGGCAGGAGTCAGGTGCTGATACCTCCCTGAGGATCAGACAGAGCTGTGTCATTCCCTCATGTCCTAACACCACTGTAACCCCAAAACTCCTCCAGCTCCTACATCCCATTCTCCTTCCATGGGACAAGGGGGCCAGGCACAGCACCCCAGCCTGGCCCTTGACACAGAGTGCAAAGCAGCTCCTTCTGCCTCTGCCTGCTCCTGTCTGACTTTTTATCCCTGAGGTCTGGGATAAGGGCTGGGGTCATGCTGGCGAGCTGGGACCACTCAGGGCCTGATTCCTGTGGGGACGTCCCAATGTCATGGGGCTGGGGACAGTGATGCCACCTTGCAGAGTTTTCCCCACAAATCCCCATCTCTTGAAGTCCTGAGATGGGAACAAGTGAAGCCAACCCCAAGCTTTGCCCTGAGAGAGGCAATACCCCATAAGTGAGAGTGGGGCTGGTTGGGGGGCACCAGCTGCTGCTTTTGGGGCTGGGGGTGGGCAGGAGGGAGGGAGGGGGAGGCAGGGGCGAGGGGAGCAGGCGGCGCCGTGACTCAGCCGGGGGTGGCAGCGGGTGAGGTGTTTGTGTTTCGTTTCTAACGTTACGGTTTCCACAGCGCCGGGAAGCAGCCCTGGGGGGCCATGGGTGCCTGGCGACACTGAGGGCGGGATGGGGCAGCAGCTGGACCGGAGAAGCTGTTCTCTAGCTAAGGCCACAGCAGCTAAAAATACCGCAGGCCATTGTCACCAGCAACAAAGCCACTGGCGTATTTTCAGCATTATCTCGGTTGCCATCAGCTCTGCCGCCCTCCCGGGAAGTGCTGTGCCCACTCCACCCGGGTACTGCTCTCCAAAGAGTTGGACAGAGCCTCCCACCTGCCCCTGGGTGCAGCCACTGTGCCTCAGTTCCCTCCTGCACACTGTTCTATGGTGCCACCCCCCATTCCACTGCTGTCATCCAAATTCTTTCACCCTACAAAGAGTCCTGAGCTGCCACACTCATCCCCTTCACATCCACAGTGTCCCCTGCCCCTAATGAATGCCTGGGGACACATGGCTCGCAGGACAGCCATCTCCATCCAGGCAGCTCCAGTCCAGCTCAGGCAGCTGGAAGGGAACAGCAGAGACTGGAAGCAATGAGTTGGCCGAGTGTCACCAGGAGATTGGTGACAGCCCCTCCTCCCTGCTGGGGCACCAGCCCTCCTCCCCGGCTCATTCCAGCAGGCAAAGCCAAGGAGGCTGCTAGGCTGCCCAGTCCAGCCCTGCCCAGCAGGGAGCTGTCATTGCTCGCCCTGGTGAAGCGAGTTGGCGCGGTCTCAGCACAGCGACCGGGTGGCCAGGGAGGGCTGTGCCAGGCTGTGCAGGCACTGCCAGCAGCTGGGCACTGCCCCAGCCCCAAACCACCAGGATAACACTGGATTTGTGCAGATTTCCCCACTAAAACAGGCAGTGATGGGGGTTTAACTTGCCGTTTCCCTGCCAGAGCAGCTCAGCTTCCCTTCCTTCCTGCGAGTCGTTCTCCACCACAGAGAGAACAGATCAGCAGCAGCTCGGGGCAGGGACAGGGTGGTGGCCGTGACCCAGAACTGGGCTCAGGAGGTGGGTGGCCAGAGACAGGTTGGATCTGCGGGTGTCCCGTGGCAGCCCATGGGTGCTTTGCTGGGCCAAGGAAAGCAAAGAGTCCGTCTGGTGGTGCTTGGATTTCTCAGCACAGCCCGAAGCTGGACTGCTGTGGCCCTGCTGGGATCCCTCCCCAGCCAGTTGGCTGCGTCCCTCCATTGCTCTATGGGAAGTTTAGGGCCAGGGCCAAGCAGGAGGGGCTGGTCACCCTTTCCCTGTGCTCCTCAAGTACCTGCTGAACCTCCCTGTCCTCATAACAGCCCCAGCATGTCCTGTAGTGCACACTGGGAGACCCTTTTGGTTTGCATGGGGGGTGGCTGTGCACCCCTCTCCCCTGCCCCGTGCCCCCTTGACATCCTACCCCACTCTCATCTTGGGGTCTGGCTTGCTCCAGCTGCAGATCCGTGAGCAGAGCAACCTCTCCCTGCAGCACAGATGGTCCCCATGGCAAGGAAAAGGGAGGTGAGACCTGCTTTGTGAGAGGCAGGGAGCCCCACTTCGCTGAGGGAAGACACACAGATAGGGCTGTGTCCGTGGTGGGACTGAATGCTGCTGCTGGGGCATCTGTGGCTGGGGGGCCGGGGAGGGTCGGTCATCTACACCCCAGAAATGGGAGAGCTGTGGGCCACCCCACCAGCAGCACCCCTGGAAGCAGAGACTGAAGAGTAGGTGGAAGAAAGGGGTCTGGTAAGAGCAGAACTCTGCACGTAGGTGCAGGGGGATGCTGGGGAGCAGAGACCAGAACACGGGAGATGATACGGCATTGTTGTGGGGGGGCTGTGGGGGCCAGGCAGACCTCGCAGGAGCAGATATTTGGGGCGGGGAGCGGGGGAGACCTGCAGCAAAGTGGGGTGTGCGAGACCAGCTCCGCCACTGCGGCAGGGATTGAGGGGCGGGGGGGAATCCGGTCCTTCCTCAGCCTTACTCCTGGTCCCCGTTCCCGGCAGCGGGGCGGGGAGCACGCAGCCCCCCCGGCCGGGCCCCGCGGTGGCGGCCCGGGGGAGCGGGAGGCAGCGGCACGGGGCGGGGAGGAGCGGAGGAGAGCGGCGGCACCGAGACCGGTCCCGGCGGGCTCCGCCGGCCCCGGCTCCGCACCCGGGCAGCTCGGCACCTCCCGTACCCGCGGGCGGCTCCGGCGCCCCGGGCGGCTCCGGTACCATTGGAAGGCTCCGCTGCCCGCACCCCGGCGGCTCCGGTGTCTCGGCTCCGGGCACAGGCGAAGGAGGCAGCGGCCGCAGCCAGGCAAGCGGGCGGGGACGGCCGGGCCGGAGCTCAGCCCCCCGAGTCCCGGGACCCTCGCCCGCGCCCCCTCCGAGGGCAGGGGGACACCCAGGGGGGATCGGCTGGAGGGTGAATGCGGGGAGGGCAGGGGGTGTATGCAACCCCCATGCCGAGAGCGGCCCGGACCCGGGATTGCACAGAACAAAGGACCGTGGAGGGTGTGTATGGAAAAGTACCGGCGGGAGGGGAGCGTCGATCGTCTGCAAACTGGGCTGGGGGCGACGGTGCGTGGTGCGAGGGCTGGGTGTGCCAGGGCAGCATTTCCCCCCCTCCCCGGGCTGGGGGCTGCTCAGGGCTGGGGGCTCTGCAGGGAACAGGGGTTGCAGCCGTGTCTGAGGGGTTTGTGCCCCCTCCAGTCATCCTACCGCAGGTTTAATGGCACAGAGGGGCTGCAGGATTTGCATCTGGGTCAGGGGGTGCAGCAGGAAGGGGTGAATGTCTAGGTGGGCGTGGGGGTCTCATGCAGGGCACTTGCGGTACTGTTCAAGGTGGGTTTAGGGGTGTCGTGCTTGCAAAGGAGGATTGGGGGCAGCTGGGGGATCCGTGGGGCTGGCATTTGCCACTCTCTGTGCTGGTGGCAGAAATGCCACCTGTGCCTGCCCACATGATCTGCACACCGCTGTGCCAGCCACCTCTGGGCTCTGCACGCCGGTGCCCTGGCCATGAACCAGGACAGCCAGGACATGGGGGGACTCCGGGCAGCAGGGCTGGGCTGTGCAGGCTCCGAGGCTCTGAGACCTGCAGGAGGGCAGCGCTTCCTTCCCCTTACGCCATCTCGGCTGCGTGACCGGGTCTCGCAAGGGGAGATATTTATAGCACTGCTCCACTGGCCCGGGGTTTGCACGGCCTGGAATGGGGCTGGCAGCTGCTGCCCCCCATCCAGAAGCCTCTGGATGCAGCTGAGCCGTTTCCCCGGCGGGGCCGGGGTGGGTGGGAGCCCGCGGGGCTGAACGGGCTGCATGGAACATGCTGGGGCTCGCTGCCAGGTTACAGGCTCCTGCGTGCTCTGCTGCCTGCAGTGCTGCCTGCAGTGCTGCCGAGTGCTTTGCCTGCGTGCTGGGTGCTGCAGAGGCCTCGCAGGGAGGGTGCAGGGAGCAGCTTTTGCTTTGGCTTGGGCCAGCCAGGCTCTGGCAAAGGAATACACCGCTCTGCAAGGATGGGGACAAGAGGGAGAGTTCATGTTTTGACTTTGCTGTGAGACGCAGATTGGCCAGAGCTGCTGTGGGGGAAGGTGGGAAGGCAGGTGGGACTGCATATCCTGGAGTGTTTTCCACATGCTTTGTCCCTGTGATTCCAACCACCACGTGTTCCCAGACCCCAGCAAAGGGAAATCGGAGATCTGGGAACTGCCCCGAGTCAATCCATGCTGCTCCATTCCCTGTGCATGGAGCAGCCTTCTCTTGGGTCCTGCTGGAGCCACCAGCACGTGGTGATGGCCAGTGCCGGAGCCGTGTTCCCTCTTTGTGTCAGATGGTCCCACAGACGTGGTCCTCTCCCGAGCAGACATCTGCTCTGCTGATGTCTCCAGGCTCTTGCTTCCCTGGCACAAAGCCTCGCAGTGTGTGGGGACGCCTCTGTGCGTGCCCCGGCTCCTCTCCCAGTCTCCTGATCCTCACAGTTTGCACGTGCCATCCAGATGCCATTGCTGTGCTGCTGTCACCACCCCATCCCAGACCCCCTCTCCATCTTTTTTACCCCAGCACCAGGCCAGCAGCTGTGTTGTGCCCTCCTGCCATGCTCATGGGGTGTGTGGCATCAGTTCGCTGTTGGGTGGGGGGAAGGAGTGGGGCAGGAGTGGGAGATCAGGGCGAGGGATAAAGCCAGGCCTATTTTTATACTGCAAAGTAATTACCAGAGCTTTCCAATCCTTAATCTGCTGAGAGCACCCTGGTGTGATTGGATCCTTCCCCAAGCCTGGCAACAATTCCCCCATCACACATCTCCTGCGTCAAAGCCCCGTAAACTCCCACACTTGGGCTCACACTGGGATACATGTGCTGCAGAGCTGCCAGCCCGTCTGCCCCTCACTTCCAGCAGCCCCTGGCTCAGGAACAGGGATGGAGACCCTGGCTGGGACCCTGGTTTGCAGCTGGGAGGATCTCACTGCCGAGCCAGTGGAGTAGGAGCTGCTGGCTAGATTTGGGTCCCAGTGAACACACTAAATCCATGTTTTCCCCATCAGCTGCCTTCCAGGGTGTTTTGGTTGAGATTAGTGGCCCACACAGCACCCTCCAGCACCCATCCAGCTTGGCTTCCCCCTGGCACAGCCAGGGTTTGGGGTGCGTCTGTCCCGACGGCGTGCAGGGCGGTTCTGGATGGCAGTGCCAAGTCTCGGCTGGCTCCTTTCCCAGCCTCTCCCTGTCCTGTCCCCGTGCCAGGGGGCTGCTGAAGAACCTGTTCCATAGCTCCCGCCACAGAGGAGGAAATGACGGGTGATGTTTGCGGGAACACCTTTCATCCCAGGGCTGGGGGAGTGCTTTGCCTCTGCCTCTGTGCAGGGTAGAGCATGGGATCTCGACAGCCCAGGAATGAGGATGAGGATGAGAACTCACCTTCCTCCACCCACCTGTGCCCACCAGCTTTCCGACCAACAGCCCAGGGATGAGGATGAGGATGAGGATGAGAACTCACCTTCCTCCACCCACCTGTGCCCACCAGCTTTCCGACCTCACCCCAAAGTCTGACTGGGCTGTTCAGCCCTGTTCCGTGACAGGGAAAGGGGCTTTTTGTGCCACGGTTCTTCCACTGTGGAGTTTGTGACGCTCTTGCCAAGTATTTGGGAGTAGCCTTCGATCCATCTGTCTCAGTGCAAGGCAGCAGGCACAAAGTAAACCTGGAAGTGTACAGCATGCAGTGCCCCCACAAACGCTGCTGTTCTACACGAGGACCCAGTGCCAGGGGTTGCCTGGGTGAGCTGCCTTCAGGGCATCCCCAGGTGACCCCAGCAGTGTCCCTTCCCCCTGCCTGGCAGGGCCCCGGCGCCCTGCCTGAGGCAATGGCCATAAAAGGCCCTGAAATGGAGAAGATGGGCGGGGGGGGGGCCGGGCTGCGTATCCAGCCTGAATGGGATCTTCCCGTCTGCCCACGCAGGTCAGGCTTGCCAGGAAGTGGGAGCGGAGGCTGGATGGAGGAGAGCAGCCCTGGCAGCCTGGAGCAGGTTCAGGAGGCTGGGGCACACCGTGCTCCCCTCCACTCCCCCTGCTTCCCTGGGGGGCACGTTTGGGCCATGGCCCGGGATGCCGGGGATCAGCATCGCCTCCCACCAAGGGCTCAGGGGGATAAAGCTGCCTTTTCATCGGCACCTGAGCTGTGGGCAGTGGGGGCTGGGGCAAGGGGCACTCAGCGGGTTCCCCCACTGGCCCCCCACTGCCTCTCCCCAGACAATGGCCACCCTTTGTTGGGGTTTTATGCGTCCAGCCCCCTTCCCTGCGGCCCAGCTGGTGACATTTTACCACCTCCACATTCCCATGGGGATTCAAAGGGCACAGATGCACCGTGAAACCACAAAGCACAGCCTCCCCCCTCAGTGCTCCCCCTCCCCTGTGCCTCAGCATCCCCAGGGAAGCAGAGCCGGGATGCGCAGAGGGGATGCTCGCACTGGGAACCTTCCTTTCGAGCTGTTTCAAGGGTGACCTGCCAGCCCTTGGGAGTTCCCTCCATCTTCCTGCCCTTCCCTTGTCATCAGCTCTCCGTTCCTTTGTGGCTCTTGAGGCACATCCCTGTCCCAAGAGGGCTTGGCATGCCAGACCCCCGCTGATGGGAGATGAAGGGAGGCAGCGTGGGCACCATTTCCAGGCTGGTGACACTTGGCCTTTTGGAGCTGGAGCTGTGTGGGTGGTACCCACCCCTGCCCTGCAGGCACCCGGCTGCCAGGGCAGTGCCAGGCAGGGCTGGTGGTGGCAGACCCGGCGTTGCCCTGACCTCCTGGGTGTAGCCAGTTTGTGGGTGTAGCCAGGCTGTGGGATACACAGTGGCCTCTGTCCCTTCAAGAGAGGTCCCAGCATGCAGGCGTCCAGCCCCTGCCCCTTCCCTCCTGCTCCCAGACTTCTGGGGGCTTTCCCTCAAGGATCTGGGCAAATAGCCCAGTTCCTCCCAACCAGTCATTGCCTCTGCAGGGACCTTGGGAAAACAGCCTGTAAACAGGCAGATGGAGAGCGTGAGTCACAGTGACCGAGAGGGAAATAAATGCAGGAGGGGAATTTGCAGCATGCCTGGGTCATGGGGATGAATCCAGCCTCTCCCAGGGATGGTGAGTGGCTGGCACGTAGGTGCTCTCCTGTGGAGCCAGCTGTCCCAGGAAGGGGTGTTTATCCCACTGATGGGAATGTGTCCAGACGATGTGTCCAGACAAGCTGCAGAACAGATCCAGTCCTCTTCCCCCACCAAAAGCATCCCCTGACCCTTGCCGCTTTATCCCAAGGGATGAGCAGTCGCTGCCCTGGAGGCAGCAGCATTTCAGCATGCAGCACCCTGCCCGTCGAGCCATGCAGATCATTTCCCCGCTGAAAGTCACCCTGCCGTGGTTATTTTTGGCTGCCGGCGGGGCCGGAGGAGCTGGCTCTCTCCCAGCTGCTGCAGCGCGTCCCGTTTGGAATTGCGTCCTGCGTGGTGGGGAGCGCTTGGGTGAGCAGGCTGCCTCCAGCATCCCGCTCCCGGCTGCCAAGGAGCTGCAGCTCCCTCGCCCTGCGCAATGCAAGAGTGCAATCTAGCGGCTAATCCCGCTGGGAACACCGGTGGCGCTGGGCATTAACTTCTGCAAAAGCCTCCGGTGACACCGGGCGCCTCTCCGAGCGTCACCTCGCCATCCCAGCTCGGGGACTGGCAGCCCAGGGTGGCGGGAGGTTTATGGAGGGTCCAGAAACGCTGTCCTTTTCGCTGGCCTCACTGGAGGCTGGAGGGACATCAGGCTGTGAGCCGCGGCAGTGTGTGCGGGGCCTGGGAGGGTGTTTGCCGGGTGAGAGGTGCCCTCACTGGGGTGAAGGGGAAGGGTGCAGCTCCCGGGGATGAAGGGTGGGCTTGCCCGGGGGCAGCAAGCGGCTCACTGCAGGTGCTTCGCCCAGGACTCACCCGCTCCACCCCGGGGGCACCGAGCCCGGACCTTTCCGTGCTTCTCCATCAGGAGCCGCTGTTGCCGTGCCCGCAGTGCCTCAGCTCCGCCGCTGCCCGGCAAGGGGGCCCCGGGCGGGACTGGTGTTCCCGGGCCGCGTTGAGGTGCTGCTGAGAGTTTCGCGGCCGAGGGGTGTCCGTTGCCTCTTTTTGCCCCCCGAGACCCCCGTGGGGCCCGGCTGGGGCTCATTTCCCGCTCTGCCCCCCCGCGCCGTTGGCTGCACGGGGGGTGACGTCCCTAAGATATGCTGATTTATTCACATTAACCCTTTTCCCGCGGGGCTTGGGGCATCCCGGGGAGGCGGCGGCAGTGGGGCGGGGGGGACCCCTTCGCTGCCCCTCGGGCCCGGGGTCCCCCCGCGAGCGGCCCCCGCCTCCCTCGCTGCCCCGCGGGTTGCCGTGGGAACCGCGCCGGGCGCTGATGTCACCGGGGCTGTTGCTACGCGACCGGCCCGCTCGCCCATCCCCGTGTGAGGTCACTGTCGCTATGGCAATGGCGGGGGGGACGCGGGGCCTCCCCCGGGGCCGGCGGGCGCTCCCGGGGCCGCGGAGCCCCCCCCGCGTACCCCGGGCGGGAGGCGGGCGCGAAGGGTGGTGTCCTCCCAGGGGAACGGCAAAAGCTTCTCGTTAAGAGTGGAAAAAGGAAAATAAAGCTTTTTTTTTTTTTTTTTTTGGGTCCTCCCCGGAATTTTTTTTTTTAAAACCTCTCGTCCCGAGATATTATTTTTAGAAATCCTGGCGGAAAAGCTGCCTGCGGCGGGAGCGTCCTCTCGTTCCACGGGAAAGGCGCTTCCCCGTGGAAACAGGCAGCGGTGGGGCTGGGCTCTGTGGGGAGTGGGCATGGGAGGGAGGGGGGTCAGGGGGCTCAGCCACGTCCCGGTGCTGCAGCCCCTTCTCTGCTCTGCTCCCAGTCCCCGCGGCGACTCGGAGACCGTGGGTTTTACATCTCCCCAGCTTGCATTCCTGCTGGAGGCGGTTTGTTCCTAAACCCTGACATCTGCTCCTTGGAAATCGATGGAGCTGCTCCTTCCGAGGCACAAATCCCTGCTCCTGTCCTGCCACTGGCTCTGGGACCCCGGCCAGGCCAGACACCATCACAGCCAGTGGCTTTGGTCATGCTCCTGGGGGCATGTCCACTCACTGCCCCTTTTCCCTGGGGACCTGCCCCACCCCTCCAGGGCTGCTGGCCACAAAGCCACGGGGATTAGCAGCTTCCTCTGGACCGGGATTTAGCCAAAGCCACTTAGAGCCACACAGCCTGGCTGGAGAGAGGGAGATGGGGAAAGTCACGACATGCAGCCTGAGCCCTCCTAAGGATGCTGAGAAGGGAAGGGGCTTTCCCAGGGTTAATAGCTCAGCATGTCGTGGTGGAACCCTGGGTTGGGCCAAACCGTGTGTGCTGCAGTGTCTCCCTTGCCCCGGCGAGCCCTCAGCCTCTGTGTTATTTCCAAAGCTTTGTGGAGACCTGTGAGCCAAAAGTCCATCCTGTGCAGGCAGGCTGGAGGGGACAGAGGGACGGGAAGGGGCGGACGCCGCTCGCATGGCGCTGCCAGCCAAGATGTAGGACAGGAGCTGGCAGATGGAGGCGGGCAGGCACAGGAGCGTGAGGCTGCACCCGGACGCTCTGTGCTGTGACGGGATCTTGGCTCACTGCTGGTTCAACAGCTGTGAGCTTCCCGGGGCTGGGGGCTTGGGACTCCGGAGGGACAGAGGACACGGGGATGGGGAGCTCGGGTGGCTCCCCAGGGAAAGGAGCAGCTGGGGAAGGAGCAGGCAAAGGCTTTCTGCTGGAGCTGTGGAGATGAGGGGTCTGGCTGGAGCTGGGGATGGGGGATGGGGCAGGGGGAGGGGGCTCACAGCCCCATCTGGGACACGCTCCTGCCCTGCTGATGGCATGGGGACCACCATGTGCACTCCTGCTCTGTTAGACCACCTGGATCACTGTGGAGACCACAAGGAAAACTGCACACCCAGCCTGTGTGAAGCTTTGCAGCAGGGGAAGCTGAGAGCAGTGGAAAGCCCCCACCCACCCTGCCACAGCACGAGAGCTCCATCTGAGGGACCCTGGGCCTGCTCTGGGCTCTTCAAAGTCCCCTCTGGTGGCCTTATCCTCTGCTAATGGGATCCTCTGTACCTTATGGGGAGAGGCTCAGGGGAAAATGTGGCTGCAATGAAGGCATAGGAAGGATATCCTGTTTCCCTAGGGAAGAGGTCATTGGTAAAGCAGCCAAGGGAATCCTGTCCTGCAGCGGCCAGACCAGAGCAAAGGGCTGCCCTGGGGATTGAGGATCCCCTGCTGCCCACAGGGAGGTTTGGGGTTAGTCCTGCTGGCACTGAGCCTGTGCTTTAACCCAGGTATTTGCAGGGTCACCATTATCACAGTCCTTACACCCCCAAGCCCTCTGCGCTGCCTCCAGCCTGGCTCCAGCTCCTCACCCAGACTATTATGGGACAGCACAGGATGGTCAAAGCCCTCATCTGCCAGACCCCAGGCAAGGAATCCGGGTCCCCACTGAGCAGCCCCCAGGTGCCCAGTCAGCTCCTGGAGGACAAGGTAGGACATTCGGGCTCCAGCTCCTCTGCACCCACCTCTTCCACCCACTGCCTCCCTGTTTCCCAGGGCAGGGGGCTGTGGTTTGTCTGGAGGGTAGAGAGGTGAGTAGCTCTGTGCCCACCTGAGCCAGGTGAGGCTTTTACAGAGGAGGCAGAAGATGAACCCAGGGAATGAAGCAGAGAAACAAGGATCAAGTTTTAGACACCTCTCCTCTGTTTTACACCTGGAACAAAAGCAGGAACATCCAAAGCTGGAGGGATGCTGAGAGGATCTGCTGGCAGGGAGCTGCTGCACAGCTCTCACCCTCGAGGGGGACACAGCCAAAAAAGCTCCCAGATGAAGGATCACTCAACTCTAAGGCTCGGGGACAGGGTCCTGCCATGCCACCATGGCTGGGGACACTGCTCCGGGTCTGGTGCCATCGTGTGGACACACGACACTTGCACGAACCCCTTGTCCCTTCCCTGGTGGAGAGACCAAGCTTGGCAGCAGTGCTCCCCCAGGCTGTACCGAACACCAAAGGGGTTTTGTCCCACTCCCACCACCCCAAATCTCCCAAAATCTTGCCCACTGTCTGGATCTCCCGCTCAGCCATCAGTGCTGCTCCTGACCTCTCCAACCCATCAACCCCAATTGCTGTTCCCCACCTGCTCTGACCCCCCCAAATTGTGACTGCATTGAGGGGTCAAGTACCTCCTGATCTGGGGGGGAATCCCCCAAGCCCCCTGGGCAAGGGAAAAGGGAAAATAAATAACCACAACTGGCCAGACATGGAAAGATATGATGGGACTGGGGGGAACCTGTTCTGCTCCCCCAGTCTTAAGAGAGGCTCTCTGCGACGTGTAAACTCTCCAGATTTTACATCCCTTCTTCCCCCATTTAATACTCCTTCTTGCCCGTTTCCCAGGAAATCCCACACACCTCCCCATGGACAATCCAGGCCCCCCTTTTCCCCGGGGGTCACCACGGCAGCTCATGCCCGGGGTGCCCCATCACCGCTGCCCGCCCTGGGGGTCCCGGGGGGCTGCAGTGAGCGGCCACAGCGGATCCGCAGCGCCTGCCCTGCCCGGGACCCCATCCCGGCGCTGGCCCCGCGGCCCCGGGCCCGCCGGAGCGAGCTCGCGGTCCCACCAGAGGGAGCCCAAAGGACGCGGATGGTGGCGGGGATGGTGGCACGGATGGTGGCACGGATGGTGGCGGGATGGTGGCACGGATGGTGGCGGGGATGGTGGCGGGGATGGTGGCACGGATGGTGGCGAGGGTGGTGGTGGGGATGGTGGCACGGATGACGGCCCGGGGAGGCGAGCAGGCACTGCCACCCCTCCGAGCGGCTCCCAAACGCCCCCAAACCTCCTTCCAGCCGCCACACCCCCGCGTGTGTCCCTCCGTGAGCCATCCCTGCCCGGGGGCTGCACCCCTGCCAGAGCTCTGCTCCAGCCCAGGAGCCTGTGCAGGGAATTTGGGGCTGGACACAGGGAAAACAGAGGCTGTGCAGCAAAGAGGGTGCTCCCACACCCCAAATCATCGCTCGGACAAGGGGGTTTCCCCCAGTTCAAGCCATCACCCGACACCACGTCCAGACTCAGAGCACGGTGAAGCATCTCTGCTCTGAGCACTTTGTGGTGGGTGCAGTTGGCCTAAATTAATGCAAAGCACCAGAAAGGGAGGGTTTGAAATGATGCTCCTGGTGCTTTTGGAACGTGGCTTTGCACCAGAAGATTTCCCGTTCACACCTCGTCGTTCCACAGGTTTGGGTACTGTTGGACACACTGTTGGTGGGAAAAGGGAGCAGGATGGAAATAACCTGCCAGATGGGGATGGGAGATGGGTGGAGGGAGAGTCAGAGAAGAAACATTGCGGGCAATGCTTCATGATGTCAGAGGAAAGTCCCTCCCATTTGCCCAGCATTTGCTCGTTTATTTAAAGCCCATCATTAGTGGCAGCCATGTGGAAGGGGATTTAAACCAGTCCTGAGTGAATTAGGTGCCACATTTTGACCATGTGTCTAATCTACCAAAGTCCTCTCCAAATCCTGCTTTCCACTGAAAATTGCTGCTTTCTTCATCAGCCACGAGGTCTGGGGGCTCCAGCCCTTCCCCTGCATGAGGGAAATTTGGGGCACATGAGAGGCTGGGGCTGAAAGCAGGAGGCTGCCACAGTGTCAACAAGAAGCAGAGAGGCTGTGGGCCAGGGAAAATCATGGAATAAATGGGATGTGGTCCAAATTCAGGCAGACAGTGCCAGGCTGCTACCCAGAACTGCTGCCAGAGCAGTCTGGCACAGTCAAGGAGAGGAAATCCCAGCCAGACCTGGAATTTAATCCTGACTTCCTGGTGAAGTGGCTGAAAATGTTCAGCTCTTGGGGACTTTGTGGTACAAAAGCAATGAGAGCCCACGACACATGAGGGAGGCCATCAAGCCTGGCTGGCAAACCCCAACACAGCCATCAGGAGGAAAACACCTCTGTGGGTTGAGTTTGTGCCCCAGACTCTTCAGAGCAGTCCCAGAGATGCTGGAAGCAGGGTGTGCACGTCCCAAGCCTCGTGCTGAGACAGCTGAGCTGGGGAAAGTCGCCTGTCCATCTGGGAAACACCTCAAGGAGGGAAGAGAGGAGAAAACGGGAATTTAGAACTGCCACGGCAGGCAGGAGCACAAAGGGAAACTGAGGCATAGGAGAGTGTCCTGGTGGGATGGGGTGGGACAGGGCAGGTGCAATGTGTGGATGCAGAGCTGTCCCCAGCCCTCTCCTGCAGAGCTGCTGCTGAGGGTGGCATTCGGTGGCTGGCAGGTGTGGGGTTAACCCAGCCCATCCCTTCCCAGGTGGTGCCAGGACTGTGAAAGGGCTGGGGAGGCCTGCAGGGAGGGCTAATGGGGCAGAGGGGAGGGGCTGCTGGCTCCGGGCTTGGGAGGTGGTGGCAGCAGAGCCGTGCTGCCACAGCAGAGCCTGTTCCCTGCCTGGAGAGCTGCTGTACTGCCAGCACTGGGAGTTTTGCTGTGGTGTGGCTGTGCCAGCCTCGTGGCTTTCACCCACTCACCATCCTGCTGGAGAGGGGAACTGGACTGGCTGGACCTGTTGTGCTTGTGGGATGTGGC